ACCCCCCACCCGGGCTCCCCGCAGCCCCCGACGGGCGCCCCGGGAGCGGCGGCCCCCCGCGAGCCTCCCCTGCCTCCCTCCCTCCCCGCCTGCCCTGGCAGCGGAAGAGAAGCAGCCGCAAGGACTCACTGGGCGTCTGGGGTCACCCCTGGCTCCCGCTGCCTCCCTCCTTCGCCCCCAGCCTTTCGCCACCTCCCCGGCTCTTCCTCCCGGCTGTCTGAAGGGCTTTGCAAAGAAATGCGGTTTTTCTGTTGTTTTCTTTTCATCTCCCTATTATTATTATTATTACTCTTATCTGTCCAAGAGCAGCAGTCCCCCGCCGGCCCCATCCGCAGCTAGTGCAGCGGGCGCCGGGCGCGCTCGTGAGCGGCACGAAAAACTCAGAGGGAACCAAATCCGTTTTGATAAAGCATTTATAAGTGAGCGAGGGAGAGAGGAAATAAAATAAATAACAATAAAGTAAGATTTCTTTTCGCAAAAGTAAAATATGGGAAAAAAGCCAGAGCTCTTCCCTTTTTCAGTTCTTCGGTTTTGTGGCACCTGAGTTGCAAATCTGCCCCATGATGCTGTTTGTTTACGCATTTATTTACGTTCCTGCTGCTACTGTCCCTCCTGCATCTTCCGCTGCCGCCGGCGGAGGCTCCTGCCGTGGTCCCGGTCCCGGCCTGGCCCGGCCGCTTGCATTTGCCGGTCACCCCGCCGCAGGGCAGGGCCGCGGGAGGAATGAACAAACAATGTGAAATAGGATGTTTTGTGTAGATAAAGCATTCTTGTTACATACTGGTCGGATCGTGATACGTTTTAGCTTATTGTCTGTGCTTATTTATTGAGTTTTGGGGTTTCTTAATAAATGTTTGAGCTAATATAAAGCATATTATTTGACTTTCCCGGACACGTTTATATCAAGTTAGTGTAAATGGATAAATAAAATCATTTTCAGTATGTGATATGAAGAATTATGGGTTTTGGTGTGGCGTGTCAGATATGAGAGGTGTCTTGAAACGCAGGCAAAAAAAAAGACACAAAAGACGAAAAAAAGACTTCTTAATTTCAGATCCACCGTTTTCTTTGTCATCCCTTTGGAAATGGTTTGCTTGCTTGAATTTTGCATCGAAGCCTTTCATTTATCACAATTTTAATACTTCATGATTAATCAACTTTTGTTAATCTTTCTGCCTAATTGGCCTTTCAATTGCCGGAAACAGAAAGTTCCGCTGCAAGACGAAAAAGGGAAGAGAAGCGAGAGGGGCCGCGGGGAGCGTGCGGAGCGGGAGCGCGGGGCGCGTTGCCCCCTCGTCCCCTCGGGCTCTGAGGCAGGTGCTCAGAGGCACCCGGGTCGCTTCCCTGCAAACTTGGGCTGGCGGACACAGAAGCCCCGGGCCCCGCGAGCGCGTCGCAGGTGGTGCCCGCGCCCCCCTTTCTGTCTTTTTTTTAGTGCAGCGCGCTGCGATCGCTTCCCTCGCACATCAATTACAATCCGCTTAATTACACACCTGAGAGTGCCCAGCTCCATAGCCGCCCGCAGAAGGGTCCTTGCCTGCTCCAAAGCGCATATTACGTATGCATATTTAATTTAAGAGAGAAATAAAAGGAGGATAAATT